CCGCTCGATCAGTTCAATGAACCAATACTGTTCTACTAACTTCTATGTTATACAATATTATAATTATAAGTTTGCTGCTGGAAGTAAACTAATGGACAGGCGATGTTACCCTTTAGAAGTTTCCATGCCATACGCTGTGAGACATAACTCAAAGCCAGCCTTTCAAGAAGTCTCCGAGTGGTTACGACTGTGGTCTGGATCATAAATACCAAAATTAGCAGTTACAAACAGGACATCATGAAGCAATTACAGATGGAAGGAACCTTTGATGTGTATTATTCAGTTTCAACCTTGCTAGCTAAAGTTTTTCAGACGATTGATTATGACAAGAGAGAGATCTGTAAATGCTAACCTCACGAGCAATTTGCTTTGCTGACTTTTTAAGAGGAGCAATCAAGTCGGTGCGGCGTTCTTCTTCGCCATTGTTTAGGAAATCCTCATCGTCCTCTGGAGCCGTTTTAGGCTCCAAAAGTGGCAAATAGAACATCAGGAGGGATCTCACTGTAGTCATTGCAAGTGATCTGAACTCGAAGGCAGAGAAAACTGGCTTTGGCTGGATATTGTATTCCTTAGAACTAGGAATGTATGTAAACGGTTCACGCTGCAAAACATCCGCAGACATTTTCCGTATAGAAGCAAGGTAATCATCATCTATTGCAGCTGCAGCATCACAATATGCAACACGAGGCTCAAAAGCACTGCAACATTAACGAACAGATCGAGTCATTACTAGGTTGAAACTGAAATGTTAAACAGAGCAATGAACAGAGAAAACAAAATACCAAAAGATCAAACACTACACAACCAATTATGCAAGTGATAGGAACTGATCTTTAAATGGAGAGAGATAAACTTCTCAATGAAGTGTTTAATCACCGAGTATCAACAAGACCATAAATCTATGAAGAGATCTCTATACAGGTTACAAACAGAAACCAGGAAAACCTATTCTGTATCTATATCTAGAGCTATTCATTGATATCGTAATCATACACACAATAACTGGATTGCAAAATATGTTCTTTACTAGTAGTTGATCTGGTCTTGGGTTAAGTGTGCCCACTTTAGCTCAATTAAAGCCAAATCTGCAATCTTTCTTTTCTCAATCACAAGTTTGTGAATAAGACTTCCAACCCTAATCACGAACAAAATCACTAAACCTAGATGTGATCAAATCCAGTAAACCAATCAAAAACTGTGAAATACAAACGAATCCAATCCGAGTACCAATACAAAAACCATGAATCCACAAAAAAAACATACCCGAAGAGAAACCTAGACGCGAAAGGAGCACTGGCGGCGGCAGATAAGGCGGCGGCGGAAGCGGAAGTAAAAGACGACGAGTG